TAGCTTTCATTTCACATCCTCTTCTGAATGCACATTGAAGTTCTATAAATTCTCTGTGGATGTACTCCTCCAACTGTTTTGAGAACCATTTAAAAAGGATGTATATTAGGCCAAAGATGTCCACATTAGGAATTGTGAGGAATGGTAGTTTCACATAAAGGTTTTACAGAAGAATTTGCCATCACGTCAAGTCTGACTCCTAGTAACCCTATGAACAACAGATCTGAATCCTGTCCTATCCTGTGCCATCCTCATCACCCCCAACACACTTGAGCCCATTGCTATAGTCACTGTTGAGGGTTTTTCTCTCTTTCACTGACCCTTCACCTTTTCAAGCATGATGTCCCTTTCCAATGGACTGCCCAACAACCACAACAGCAATAATTTATGAATTTATGAGGACAAAGACCACTCCTTGTGTGTTCCTTTAGGGTAGGACAGGTTCCAATAAGAAATATCCAACAGGCTAAACAGTAATGACAAGTGAGAGTTGTCCCTGTACGGACATTATTCCTCAGTAATTTGGAGAGCTCTCTGACAGCAGACTTGCCAGTACAACACATCTTTTGATTTACTGAGTGCTAGACTGAGGCTCAATGTCAAGAAGACAAAAATTCTCACCACCGGACCAATCGGTAGCATCAGGATGGATGGCGAAGAGATTGAGAGTGTTCACAGCTTCAGTTTGCTCAGCTCCACGGTCAACACTCTTGGCACCAGTAGCCAGGAAATCAAAAAACGTATTGCGATGGGAAAGTCTGTGGTTAGGGACCTCTCTAAAGTACTCAAGAGCAACGGTGTCTCTCTGGAGACTAAGGTGCGCCTGATACAGGCCATGGTTTTTGCAATCACTTGTTATGCATCAGAGAGTTGGACAATGACTAGGGAGGACAGAAGGAGAATTGACGCCTTTGAGCTGTGGTGCTGGAGAAGAGTATTGAATGTACCATGGACTGCCAGGAAAACAAACAGATTCATCCTAGAGAGGGTTAAACCAGGCTGCTCCTTGGAGGCAAGGATTCTGGGGCTTCGCCTGACATACTTTGGACATGTTGTAAGGAGAGACAGGTCTTTGGAGAGGGACATCATGCTGGGTAGAGTGGAGGGACGGCGCAGGAGGGGAAGACCCTCTATGAGGTGGATTGATTCAGTGACTGGGGTAATCGGGATGGGTGTGTCAGGGGTAATGAGATTGGCATGGGATAGAGCACGGTTTAGGGCTGTTGTACATAGGGTAGCTATGAGTCGCAAACAACTCGACGGCACATAACAACAACAACAACAACAGTTCCAAGGGGGTTGAATATGGATCCAAGTAAAACTGAGATTGTTGATAATTTCCACCTTTTCTCAATCTATTATGATGTTATTTATTGATCCAGTGGACATGTCCAGCACTTTCTGCAGAAGATCAAAGACTACAACCTTCAACATGGATTGCATCTCAACCTCAAGAAGACAAAAATTCTCACCACTGGATCAATAAATAACACTGTTTGGTGTTATCAAGTCAAGTATGACTCATAGTGACCCTATGAACAACAGATCGGAACTCTGTCCTATCCTGTGCCATCCATCATTTCTGGCACACACAAGCCCGTTGCTGCAGTTACTGTGCCAATACATCCCATTGAGGATCTTTTTCCCTTTGGCCAAACTTCCACCTTGGCAAGAGTGATGTCCCTTTCCAACGAGTAGCCCTTTCTAACAATATGCTCAAAATATGGATCAGTTTTATGATAGCAAAAATAATACAAATGAAGAATCACATAGGATGGAGTCTGAGAGGATTTCTAAAATATAACTTCCAGGTTTCAAAGGATGAGCTGTTCTCCCCCAACCAGGAAGTTCACTGGGGTTCAATGTCCGGTTTGCTTGTGGGAGTTTCATTATGTAAACATGATTAATTAAACTATTTGCTCACGTGGATAAACTCAATCTCCAGCTTCCCTCCCCCAAAGTCAGTCAGAAATCATAAATTGATCCCTTTATCCATGCCAGCCCCCATGCAAGAGTTATTATAGCCTGTCGGCTTATAACAGCATAACCTGACAGGTAGGTGTGATCTGGAGCCTCTTCACAAGCATCGGGGACTCCAAACACTGCAGAAATCCCCAGGTTTTCCCTGGGAACAAAACTGCTGTTGTCCATTGCCTTCAAGTCGAGCATGACTCAGCAACCCCATGAACAAAAGGCCTGAAGCCCTTCCACAACCATCGCCACACACACAAAGACATAGTTGTTGTTGTTGTTATTATGTGCCATCGAGTCACTAGCGACTCATAGCGACCCTATGTACAACAGCCCTAAACTCTGCTCTGTCCTGTGCCAATAGCCCTGTCTCTGACACTCCCATCCCAATTATCCCAGTCACTGAATCAATCCACCTCATAGAGGGCCTTTCCCTTCTGCACTGTCCCTCCACCCTCCCAAGCATGATGTCCTTCTCCAAGGACCGGTCTCTCCTCACAACATGTCCAAAGTATGTTAGATGGAGCCTCAGAATCCTTGCCTCCAAGGAGCCGCCTGGTTTAACCCTTTCCAGGATGAATCTGTTTGTTTTCTTAGCAGTCCATGGTATTCTCAATACTCTTCTCCAGCACCACAGCTCAAAGGCATCAATTCTCCTTCTAGCCTCCTTGGTTATTGTCCAACTCTCTGATGCCTAACAAGTGATTGTGAAGACCATGGCCTGTATCAAACACACCTTAGTCTCCAGAGAGACACCATTGCTCTTCAGTACTTTGGAGAGGTCCCTAACAGCAGCCTTTCCCATGGCAATGCATCTTTTAATTTCCTGGCTACTGGTGCCAAGAGTGTTGACTGTTCTTTGGGTAAAGTTGATTGCAAACTTCATGACAAGTAATGGCAAGTTGTCAAAACAGTACTAGGATAGGAGTTCATCTTGTGTCAAGAAAGGAAAAGACTTCCTAAGAAAATAATAACTTGGCTGAATATTCTCTTATTGCCGTTGAGTCAAAACAGACTCATAGCTCACCTGCCAGCGTGTTTTCAGAGGCTGTTAATTGCATGGGAGGTGATTACTCATCTTTCTCCCATAGAGGAACTGGTGGATTCGAAACACATGCCTTTGAGCTGCTAGCACAACTCTTTACCCACTATGCTGCTGTTGTTGTTGTTTGGTGCCGTCGAGTTGTAGACAACTCATAGCAACCCTAAGAACGAACGGCCTGAGCACTGTTAGAGAACTCATTTTGGGTGTAGTCTTTGGGAAGAGATTTCAGGAAGGTCATGGGAAATTTGAGGCAGAAGGAGCAACTTCTACAAGGAAGAGAATCTGTGGACACAGTTTGTCCCACCTGCCACTAAACAGAGGCAGGGGACCTATTATGGAGGGCTTCCTCTGTGACAAATAACATGTACTATGTTGTATTATGAAGATGAAATGAGTGCCTGCAATAAAGATTCAGAATAAATCGTCTCTGGCACATAGTGTATGTAATGCTATATTATTTTTATTTCTTCAGGATTTAGACATTGTTGTTATGTGCCACCGAGTCACCTGCGACTCACAGTGACCTATATACACAATAGTTCTGAAGTCTGCCCTGTCTGGAGCCAGTCTCACTGGCATGTTGTTATTGCTTTTGTTAGGTGTCGTGGAGTTGAGCACGACTCTTAGCGACCCTATGAACAAAAGATTTGAACCCTGTTCTATCCTGCGCCATCCTGATTAACTTGGCATAAATAGGATAGAATGTAGTCCAACAGATAGATCTCCATTTTCCAAGAAGGAAAATGCCCACAATCCTTCAATTATCATCCAGTGTCTTCAATTGCCCATTAAAGATGCTGCCACAACTACCACTTCTCTAGCACAATAGGACCCAGCCTCTGAGCCTTGGGACATCTATCTTTAATTAGTGAAATACTAGGTAAATCCCACGATTGAAATAATCTAATCCTTCAAATTTCCCTTCAGGTAATGGAAGGTGGTGACAAGAGAAGACAATGAAAGAGACAGAGTCCTCTTGTTCTCTGCCATCCAGCCCAGATGTCCCTGTACAACGTGGTAGAGTTTAAGGGTGAATCTGGAGCACTGTTTTGGAGCTGCCTGGGGCACAGTGCATTCTCATCACTAGGAGCCGTAGAGGAAGAGGGTGAAGCAGGGAAACGTCTTTTCATGCAAATTTGAGCCAGTTCTTGGTGATACTCAGGCTTGTTCTCTCTCCAGGTTTTCTAACATCTGGAGACAGTGACACTGGCAAAGGAACCCCAAGTGATATTTAGTAAAGCAAATCCCTTAGTAATCCAGCAGGTATATGCTTCTCCATAAAAGAAATAATGCACATAGTAGGGTATTTTTCCTTGCCTAGACAATCTGGAGTCCTGGCCGCCCTCAAGATGCTAAGAGAATCGCCTCATTCTAACGTTTTCGCTCTCATCCCATATCTGGAGGAGCTGATGCAATTCCGAGCGGGGCGGTGGCTGGGTTCTTGCACTATAGACATTAACAGTGTTCCAGCGTGGCTGCTCTGCAGCACCGGGCAATCCCAGGAATCCTGTCGCCTGCAGCTTTGCAGCAGCACTGAGCTTCCAGCACCAGGGCTTGCGAGCTGTTAACTGAATGCGCCCTGCTCGAGGCAGGAGAGCTCACGCCACTCAGCCCTCCGAGCAGGATATTTGATAGCACACTTTCCCTGGAGAAGTTCCTGTCTTCTAACTGCACTGTCTCTCTATCAAGGCCCCTTTGCAATACAAAGCAAAGGCAACAAGACTCTTGCTTTTTGGCTGTTCTTACCTAGCCAGACCTCGGCTATTCTACAGCCCCTTCCCTATAGGAAAATAGCTTGTTTGACAAGCCCCATAGAGACCCTTGCTCCTCTGTGTACTCCCAGTTTTTAAAATGTTTCTAGGCATCGGAAAAAAAATCTGAACATCGATACCCTCCCCAGTCCGGTGGGCCCAGCCTTCCGCCCTGGAGGTCAGGCAACCCGGACCCTGTGCGAGCCAGAGACCCCTGCTCGGGGCGGACTCACCTGGCCAGTGGAGAAGCGCCGGAGCGCCTGGCGACCCCGCCGCAGCATGCCGGGAAGGAGCGCTCTGTGCCGGCTGGTGGGCAGCGGGGCTCAGCCAGGTCTGCAGCCTGAGGGCTCCGTCGGTCCAGCTCGTGCTCTCCAGAGATCCGATTCCTGCAGACCCGCCCCGTCCAGCTGGCAAGGCCCCGCCCCCTCCAGCTGGCTCTGGCAGCCAATTGGGTGTGGCCGGGCCCTGGGAGCCGAGGCCCTGGGCGCCGAGCCCTGAGATTCCTGAGGCTCGGCTCTGGGGGCTGCGTTCGTGCTCAGCTGGGGTGGGGGTGGGGGGGCCGCATCACGCCATGCTGCTGCCTGAAGTTTATTAATGAGACCCGCGCAGTCCCTGGATTCCAGTGTTGGCCGGGGTCACTACAAATTCAGCGTATGCTTTACAGGGATCTGTCCTTTTAGTGGGCAATTTGACGCCCCAAAACATGTCCTCAACACAATCCAGAGAAAGCCGCAGACACCCCTGTGTGCATTCGGCTGTGAGCTCCTAGAAATAAAGGATAGCAAGCTCGCTTTATGGGAATCCTGATACCCATCTGGCAAATTTACAGAGAGGATTCAGTGAGAGTGTAAATTAAGCTCTTGGCAAAGGGCCAGACACACAGCTGGTCCCGAGCAGACCATACATGCCTTTGAGTCTTTTCTAGAAGAAAGCTCAGGCATGCTTCAGTGAATGCTCATCTCAGATGGGATTTAGAAGCCTGCCTTCAAGGCCATCTGCAATTCTGGTACTTACTGTTTCTCCTTGCTTTCTTGCACATACAAAGTCACACTGACAGGATTCTACCAATTTCTTCTATCAAGAAATGTCACCTGCCACTTATCATCTCATTATGATCAAATTCCTTCATTAACGTACAGACCATCTACTTCTTTCTAGAGGCTTTTTTTCTGATTTTTCTCTCTCTTTCCTACCCTTCTTCCCCCAGAGGAAATCTTGCTCTTCTGGAAGATTTTTGTCCATGCTTCTCCTGTGAGGTCATAGGCGTGGTGCAAAGATTTTGACCGGACTAAGAAGGAACTCTAGTGCTTATGTTGTTGTTAGGTGCCATCGAGTTGTGTACGAGGCATAGCAATCCTATGGAAAAAAAGAACTGAACCCTGTTCTATCCTGCTGCCATCCCCACACTTCCTGACACACAAGAGCCTATTGCAGCAGTCCCCATGTCAGTCCACTTGGTTGAAGGTCTTCCTTTCCTTTGCCGACCCTCCACCCTTCCCAGCATCAAGTCCCTCTCCAGGAAATAGCACCTCTTATCAATGTGTCCAAAGTATGTGAGGCAAAGCCTCATCATTCTTGCCTCCAAAGAGCACTCCTGCTGCATCCTCTCCAAGACATAGCTGTTTGTTCTCTTTGCCATCATGGGGTTGTTCCGTGCTCTTCTCAAACACCACAGCTCAAAGATGTCAATTCTTTTCCTGTCAGCAAACAGGGTTGTGTCATCTGCATAACACAGGTTGCTGATGAATCTTCCTCCAATCCTGATGCCACATTCCTCCTCGTGCAGCCCAGCATCTCGGATGATCTGTTCTGCATACAGATTGAAAGAGGTATGGAGACAGAATACATCCGTGACGGACCCCCTTCTTGATTTTGAACCATGTAGTGTCTCCTTGCTCTGTTCTGACAATTACCTCTTGGTCCAAGTATAGGTTTCGCATTAGCACAATCAAATGTTCTGGGATTCCCATTCTTCTCAGAGTTAGCCACAGCTTGTTGTGATCCACACACTCAAAAGCCTTTGTGTGTGTGTGTGTGTGTGTGTGTGTATTTTTTTCTCCACACTCCACAGATGTAACAAACTACATAGAAAGCACAGTTACAGAGGTTTCCTAAACATATCCAAACACTCAAGATATGACTAGGAAAGTGCTGCAGCTTCAAAATAGTGTAGATCAAAATAGTGTAATGTTATAAATGGTGACCTTAACTTGGCATGATTAAAAAGAAGAGGAAGCACCAAACTGCCTTCCAGGATGGTTGTACCATTTTACAACCCCACCAACAATGTGCAAGATTTCCTTTCTCTCCACATCCTCTTCAACATTTATTACTTGCTGCCCTAAATTCCATATGACCAAGATTTTCCACTACTTGGAATATACCCTGAGAAAATAAGAACTGAGGCACAAACAGATTTGTACACCAGTGTTCACAGTAGCATTATTCACCACCGCAAGAACATGGAAACAGCCCAAATGTTCAACCACAAATGAATAGATTGAGAAACTAGGGTACACTGACACAGTTGAATACTATGCAGCATGCAGGAGCAATGATTTTGTAAATTATTTCCTAACTTGGGAGGGACTGGAGAGCATTATGCTGAATGAACTAACTCAGTCCCACAAGGATAAATACTGTATAAAACCATTATTGTAGAATGAGTATAAGAATCCAAGAGGGGTGAGCGAGGTTGAAAGCAGAAGGATGAGGATGTGCAGGGGTTGGAGGGGATGAATCATGGGGTTGTACAATTTGATCAGGGGAGGTTGAAGGAAATGGAAAGAATTTGTTCTTGAACACATGCATTAGAACTTTATAAATAAACTAGTAAAAAAATTAAAAAAGAAGAGGACACAACAGCATAGATACATTCATAATAAAAAGGTACAAAATACAAGTCTTGGATAATTGGAAATGGTAAAATAAGAAATAAATGAAGGTTATTAACATCCTAGGCATTAGAGAGCTGAAATGGACTGATACCATTCTGAATGGGACAATCACTAGGCCTAGTATTCTTAGTAGGTCAAAATGCAGAATAATTACATTGTATTTATTATCACAAAGAACATTTCAACATCTATCCTGATAGGGTAATACTCATAATTCTACAAGAAAGACTTTTATTAAAATTAATGTGCTAACCACTCTTTTCAGAGATTAAGAAATTGAAGATTTGTACCAACTTCTGCACTTCGAAGTTGATCAAACATGCAACCAAGATGTACTGCTAATTATTGATAAACAGAATTTAAAAAGTGAAAAATGAGGATCAATAGTTAGAAAACATGGCCTTGGTGTAGAAATGATGTTGGAGATTGATCACATGATAAAATTTTGCAAGGACAATAACTTATTCGTAGTAAATACCTTTTAAAAGAAAACTTAAATAGGAACTATACCCACGGACCTCACTGGATAGAATGCCTAAGAACCAAATTATCAGTATTTGTGGAAAGAAATGATGGATAAGCTCAGTATAATTTGTTAGAATAAGACAAGAAGTCAAGTGTGGGATAGACTATCAATTTTTCACCTGCAAGTTCAAGTTGAAGCGGAATAAAATTAAAACTGAGCCAAAGTATAATCTGGAGTATATTCTACCTAAATTTAGAGACCATTGCAGGAATTAATTTCCCACATGGAACAATAATGTATGAAAATAAGAAGGGTCATAGGATAATATCAGGGACATTATACATGAAGAAACAAAAAGAATCATCACAAACACAAGAGTAAAAGAAAAGACCAGATTGGGTGTCAGAAGACTCTAAAACTTACATTTGAATATAGAGTAGTTAAAGCTAAAAAAGAAAATGATGAAGTGAGAACAGAAGAATTCAAAGGGCAGCTAGAAAAGACAAAGTAAAATATTAAAATTAAATGTGCAAAGACAAAGAATTAGAAAACAAAATCAGAAGAACATGCTCATCATTTCTCAAGTTTAAGGAACTGAAGAAAATAGTTGAAGCATTGAGTTGCAATACTGAAGAATCTATGGCAAAAGAGAACAAACAGGTCTGTCCAGGAGAGGATAAAACCAAGCTGCTCCTTGGATGCAAGGATTTTGAAGCTCCATCTAACATACTTTTGGGCACGTGGCCAAGAGGGACCAGTCCTT